ACATTACCAACCTTATTCTAAAACACTATCACAGCAAAATTTGCCATCAAGGAAGGTCCCAAACGCTTATGGAACTCAGGACACATGGATTTTGGATTATTGGTGGCAGTAAGTCGGTTGCTAAGTTAATCTACAATTGCGTTCAATGTCGGAAACTCAGGCGACCAGTGGAGGAACAGCAAATGGCAGAACTTCCAAAAGAACGTACTGAAGCCTCTTCCCCGTTCTGCTACACGGGTATGGATTGTTTTGGTCCATTTATTATAAAAAAGGGACGAAAGGAGTACAAAAGGTACGGCCTTCTTTTCACTTGCCTTTCATCACGAGCAGTCCACATTGAAATGCTTGAAGACCTATCAACAGACATGTTCATTAATGCTTTGAGATGTTTCATAAGTCTGCGAGGAGCTGTTCGTCAACTTTATTGCGACTGTGGTACAAACTTTGTAGGAGCTAGAAATGAATTCAAACAGGCTCTTAAGGAATGCGATGTCAAAACACTGGAGAGATATCTTGCGGAAAATCAGTGTGAGTTTATCTTTAATGCTGCCTCAGCTAGTCACTCAGGAGGTGTCTGGGAACGCCAAATTAGGACTGTGCGTAATGTGCTGAATTCTACTCTTTCTTTGTGCCCTGGTAGACTGGATGACTCTTCTCTAAGAACATTGTTTTATGAAGCGATGGCTATTGTTAATAGTCGACCATTAACTGTGGATGGAATAAACGACCCAAAATCACTAGAACCTTTAACTCCTAATCATCTTGTTTTAATGAAATCCGAGACTGCTCTTCCTCCCCCAGGGAAGTTTTTAAAGGAAGACGTGCATGCTACAAAAAGGTGGCGCAGGGTTCAGTACTTGATTGAACAGTTTTGGAGTCGTTGGAAAAGGGAATATCTCCTGAATATATCCACAAGACAGAAGTGGCACGTACCTCGACGTAATCTTAAAGTAAATGACATTGTAATCATTAAAGATGACATGCTTCCTAGAAACAAATGGCAGTTAGGTAGGGTTGTTGAGGTTTTTCCAGGTAACGATGGCCTTGTTAGACGCGTTAAAGTTCAAACAGGAGAACAAAAACAGAAAACGGGGTTGGGGCACCGTTCTTCACATTCAGTTATTGAGCGACCAATCCAAAAATTGGTTGTTATAGTTGAGAGTGATTAGTTGCAACTTTCTTGCATCAGACAAATAATGTTAATTTTGTATGTGGATTTATTTTGTGAGTTAAATTTGAAGTTAAAATCATGTATGATATTTGTTTTGTTTGTTTGATTCATACCATGATTTGGTGGGAGTGTAACTGCCCATGATTTAATGTACTCGCTTTGCTTGCCCTAATTGGAGTCACCACAGGAGGGCGATCTAGACTAATAGGATTTAAGTGAGACAAAGCAGAGTAAGAGCAATTCACGTTTGTTCATGAGCTAACAGGTACAGCTCGGAAGAATGCCTTGAGCTTTTAGTGTCCCTTCGGCAAGCAGAGCGAGGTATGTTTTGTTTATTGTTTGATTTATTTGGAAAATGTTAGATGTTTTGTAAATGTTTGTTGTTTATTTTTCTATGTTGTTTGTTTGTTTGTTTTCTCTAGTTTTACGGTGCTTTGGTGCTTTTGGTGCCTTTGGTCTTTTGATGCTTCTGTGTATACAACAAAGAACTGAGACGATGATTTATGTGATGAGCTTTATTGCATCCAAGTAAACCTTTTTAAATGCACCCGTCAAAAACTCTCTGCCTATTCTTTGAAAGCTGAAGGGCTGCTACAAGGAATAATCAAATGAACGGATGATACACGGACCACAGCTGTCTTCCATATATCTTCCTTTGTATTCAATAGAAAACATGAAACTCGTAAAGCTTTACAAGCACTTGAGGGTGAGTAAATAAGTTCATTTTTTCTACGAACTCGCTCTTTAAAGTCACAAGACTTCTGCAAGTAACTAGCATAGCAACATTTACCAAAGGAGGAAACGTGTTTTCGTCTTTAAGAAAATATCTTGTAAATATATCAGACATATTTTCAGTTATAATCATCAGTTAGGGTGTACCTTCTTAAGCTTTCACATAATGCATCTCACGACTCTGTCCAGTCATATCAGATCAAATGAATGTTTATCTGTGCATTATTGAAACTGCTGCTGACATTTTTTTTCTTCAGTGAAACATGAAGGAAGCTTTATATGAAGATTTGTTTGAATATATGTTGTTTAATTTCATACACAGATCCATTGTTTTACTTCACAAGAATTCAGTGTGTGACCAGGAGCTATGGCTATTGATGTGAGATAGTTTGTATGTGTTTATTTTTATCTAATAATGAATGCCTATTGTAGCCTATGAATGACCACGGACCAAAAATTCAGCTTAAAATATTTGTTAATCTTCTACTGAGGAAAAAAAAAAGTCTCCAACATCTTGGATAACCTGAAGGTGAGTAAAAAACAAAATATTTTATTTTTTGGGGTATGCTAGCTAACCAGCTATGCTAATTCTCCCTCCATTTGAATTTTGTTCCATCCGCAGGATTTAAACACTTCACTGGCTCAAGTTTGGAACCAATTTGACCAAAAGTGTCACTTCTTTAATAATTCCTCCTTATAAATTGTCATTTACAGTAGGCTACTGTATATTTACTCTACAACAGTATGATTATTTAATCATAAAACTGACATAGCCATTTCTGATAATCATTCACTCATTTTTTTAGCTTAGTCCCTTATTTATCAGGGGTCACCACAGCGGAATGAACCATCAACTATTCTAGCATATGTTTCCCAGCTGCAACCCGCTACTGGGAAACACACACTCTCGCATTCACACTTATTCTAATACACTATGGCCAATTTAGTTCATCAAATTCACCTACAGCGCATGTCTTTGGACTGTAGGAGAAACCGGAGCACCTAAAGGGAACCCACGCGAACACAGGGAGAACATGCAAACACCATACAGAAATGCCAACTGACCCAGTCAGAACTCTAAGCAGTGACCATCTTGCTGCGAGGCAAGAGCACTAACTACTGAGCCACCGTCACTCTTCAATTCATATCAGATCAAATAAATGTTTATCTGTGCATTTTTGAAAATGCTGATAACTTTTTTTACTTTAGTGAAACATGAAGCTTTATATGAAGATTTGTTTAAATATTTAATGTTTCATTTCATACACAGATCATCGTATCACTTTACAAGAATTCAGTGTGTGACCAGGAGCTATGGCTATTGATTTGAGATGGTTTGTATGTGCTTATTTTTAATCTAATAATGAATGCCTATTGTATGAACGATCAAGGACCACAAATTCAGCTTAAAATATATATTTTTAATCTTCTACTGATGAAAAAAGTCACCTACATCTTGGACAACCTGAAGGTGAGTAAAAAACAAAATATTTTATTTTTGGGGTAAGCTAGCTAATTAGCTATGCTAATTCTCCCTCCATTCGCATTTTGTTCCATCCGCAGGATTTAAACACTTCACTGGCTCAAGTCTGGATCCAATTTGACCAAACTTCTTTAATCATTTCTGCTTAGATTCTGTCATTTATGGTAGGCTACTGTATATTTACACTACAGTTTAATCATAGAACTGGCATAGCCATTTCTGACAACCATTCATTTATTTTCTTTCAGCTTAATCCTTTTAAGGGGTTGGAATGAACCCAGCTGCAACCCAGTATTGGAAAACACACATACACTCTTGCATTCACACCCATTCTCATACACTATAGCCAATTTAGTTCCAAATCAAATCACTTTTATTGTCACATCATCAGCAGCACGTGTGCTATGATGAGGGAAAAGCTTAGAGAGAGCTCGCAACACCGCGGCCATGCTCGGCACCAACTTGATGACGTCTGTCATTCATCCAGTCTTTGGACTGTGGGGGAAACCGGACCACCTAAAGGAAACCCATGAACACAGGGAGAACATGCAAACACCACACAGAAATGCCATCTGTCCCAGCCGGGGCTTGAACCAACGACCACCCTGCTGAAAAATCCAGCTTAAACCAGCCTAGGCTGGTTGGCTGGTTTTAGCTAGTCGACCAGCCTGGTTTTAGAGGAGTTTTGGCCATTTCCAGGCTGGTTTCCAGCTATTTCCAGCCTGGTCTTAGCTGGTCAGGCTGGAAAATGACCAGCTAAAACCAGATAAAACCAACTTGACCAGCCTGCTTTAGGCTGGACATAGCTGGTTTAGCCTGGACTCCAAGCTTGGCTAGGCTGTTCAAGCTGGTTTTAGCTGGTTATCTCCCAGCCTGACCAGCTAAGACCAGACTGGAAATGGCTGGAAACCAGCCTGGAAGTGGCCAAAACCCCTCTAAAATCAGGCTGGTCGACCAGCTAAAACCAGCCAACCAGCCTAGGCTGGTTTAAGCTGGATTTTTCAGCAGGGCATTTTGCTGTGAAGCAAAAATGCTACCCACTGCGCCACCTTGCTGTCTAATAATACAAGTATTACAAAAAAACGTAAAATATTCAAGAGATCTCTAAGTGGTTTCCAAAGTGGTATTATAACTATAATTATCCACAATCATTATTATGAAAAGAAATAATAATATTATAGTATACTCTGTCAATAACAGATGAAGAAACCTCCATAAATGTAGGCTTACCTTAACAAATTATGATTTTACAATAATAACAACTATCATACTATATTCGTGCTCACAATAGTTGCCAATGTGATTTGTAATAAGGTGCATGAACAATAAAAAGCCAAACATTGGTTACATGTCAGTGTGGCGCAAAGAACGCTGACCTGCGCCGCTAATGTAAACAAATCCTTGTGTCAGCGGCTCATTTTCTACGACCGTTTTAATTGATTAATTATGGAGAGGCCGAAGCCACGTTCCTGAATAATGAATGATGCTGGTTTTAAAACGTCCTGAATATTTTACGTCCTGTGGGTGGGATTGCATTTTCAAAACGAGTCCTCCGAGCCGTCAATCAACATCCGAACCCGCCCCCTGCTGCCGTCACTCCTTTCAAGTGACGTCAAAGTGTCTGCAGGTGTTGGAAGAGGCGCAGTATTGGCGTAAGAGACGCTTTAAACGGCTTTTAACGGTAAGACAGCGCCACTAATATGCGTTTTTAGATGCTTTATGATAAATACATCGAACTATGTGCTGTATATGTGTGTTTTTCATTGGTAAAGTTGCGAATTATTGCGCTGAATGCAGAAAGAATAACCTTCATTTGACATGGACATCGCGCATCCTATACGGTTCTATTTATAATTCCTATGAAATGCACATCTGCCACATCGCTTTTAAAGCAGAGATCTTACGTTGCTCCGATTCATATGATTGTTTGCCTTTTCGATGATATCCCAAAGAGAATAACGATGATTTCATGATCGCCGTGCTCTTTAGCATCATCTCAGAAGATGGTGAATCAGGTGAAAATATCATCCGCAGCAGCAGCACTGTTGCATGTGCTGTTTCCTATTATGTAAGAATGCTCTTTTCGTTTGCTACGTTGTAATAAATAACTGGCTATAATTTTCTTTAATATTAAAACGTTACAGTATATTGCTTTGTGATGTTAGCCTATATCCTATACAACACTAGATAGGCTGCTGATTACATTCCGACATAGAGCATTTATGATGCTGCACATCCGTTTAGTAGCTTTAGGCTCAGAGATTTTCCTTCATCTTTCAGTAAAACTGCAGGGTTTTGGTCAATAAAGGGGTAGTTCACTCATTTCTCATTCACTTAACCCTTATGAGTTTCTTTCTTCGAGTTAAACACAAATCGGATATTTTGAAAAATGCTGGAAACCTGTCCATTCACTTCAATTGTTTTCCTACTATGGAAGTCAATGATTTAAGTATTTTTTTCTGAATCTTTCTTAAATATTTAAAGAAACTCATAACGGTTTAGAATCACTTGAGGTAAATAATGTGTACATTTTTATCTTGGGGTGAACTAAAGTGCTCAGCATAAATGAGTACACCCCATTTTGAAAATGAAGATTTGTGTCCATTTCTCAGTGAATATAGGTCATATAATTTAGTGCATTTGCATTTAAATATTATAGTCACCGAATATCTCTAGAAATATAAAGATAAAACATTTAAATTCATGCAAAATATTGGAAAAAAATACATAGTACAGAATTTTAGCAAATTTAAGATATTTCTTGATTTTTGCTCTTTTTTTATAAAAAATATTGCAAAAATAAAAAAATAAATACAAACTACATAATTTCAATAAGCTTTTATATATTTTATGTGTCTCTTGATTTTTGTTCTTTTTTAAATTTGTATTTAACATTTTTCACTAACATATAAATTTGGGTGTACACATTTTTGGACCGCTATCGTAAGTTATTGTGTTTCTAAATGTTTCTTAAATGTTTAAAGAAACTCATAACAGTTTAGAATCATTTGAGGTAAATAATGTGTAAATTTTTATTTTGGGGTGAGCTAAAGTGCTCAGCATAAATGAGCACACCCCATTTTGAAAATTAATATTTGTATCCATTTCTCAGTGAATATAGGTCATATATTTTGGTGCATTTGAACAAAACAGATATATATTTTTAAATAATATTATAGTCACCGAATATCTCTAGAAATATAAAGATAAAACATTTAAATGCATGCAAAATATTGCAAAAACAAAAATACAAACTACAAAATTTCAACAAAATTTTATATATTCTTTTGTTTCTCTTGATTTTTTCTTTTTTTTTTTTTTGTATTTAATATTTTTCCCTAACATATAAATTTGGGTGTACACATTTTTGGACTGCTATCATAAGTTATTGTGTTTCTAAATGTTTCTTAAATGTTTAAAGAAACTCATCACGGTTTGGAATCACTTTAGGTAAATAATGTGTACATTTTTTATTTTAGGGTGAAGTATAGTGCTCAGCATAAATGAGTACAGCCCATTTTGAAAATTAATATTTGTATCGATTTCGCAGTGAATATAGGTCATATAATTTGGTGGATTTGCATTTGAATATTATAGTCACCAAATATCTCTAGAAATATAAAGATAAAACATTTAAATTCATGCAAAATATTGAAAAAATATACAAAGTACAAAATTTTTACAAAATTTTAGATATTTCTTGATTTTTGCTCTTTTTTTTAAATTTGTATTTAATATTTTCCCCAAACATATAAATTTGGATGTTTGGACCATTATCGTAAGTTATTTTGTTAAGTTCCAGATTTGGCTTCAATACTGACTAATCTAATGTATATGCACAAATAAAATATTGTAAACCTTTCTATAGAAAATATTAATTTAAATGAGAGATTTTTGTGGGGTGTACTCCTATTTGCTGAGCACTGTATACCCGTAATGCACCCCATATATTTGGCAATGTTTATACCAATTTAATTCAAGTGTTTTTCATTCTGAATGTTAAAATGAGGATTTTGAAACAAATCAGCTTGACAGTTCTTGGACAGAGCAGCTCTGACCACACAGTGACCAGCTCTGTCAGTCTTGATTACCCAGACCTTTGCATTATTGAGGATTTGTGTCTAAAGGAAGAGAAAAGTGCTTACTGGAGCACAGCCCGAGCATTTCCTGTAGTGTAATTGCTGCTTTTTTTCCTCAAGATATACTCATAAAGATGTTCTCTCAGTCCCCCCTCCCTAAGGCTGTCCGGCAGAATGTTTTTGTCAGGCTGAAAGAGCAGCTGGTCTAAAAGTTAGCCTCTATTTTTAGTCAGCTCAAGCCCTCTGTTATCAGGAGAGATGCTGACTTTAGGATGCTTTGGTGTTCTGTGAATCTTTCAGACACACCAGACGTGGTGTGCTGAATTGCAAATCAGGGTCTCCTGAGGAGAAGCCTTTTTGTTTAGTTTAGCTGTGTCTGGTGAATGTTGTATTGATTTTGATGAATGTGAGGCTAGTTCAAAGCTCTCTTTAAAGCTAATTAAACTTAAATTAGAAATCTGGTGTTGTACGGTCATCAGATCATTCTGTTTTCTCATCAGTCATAACCATTTTACGTCAGATCATATTGCACTGAAATAGAATATGATGGAGTTTTAAAAGTCCATGAGAAATCAAAATAATACATTTCTTTAGGTGAACAATTCATCGGTGTAAGGTAATTCACTGGAAAAAAAAAAGCTTTATTAATCTTCATTGAAAGTCTGATCATTTGTTTTCATATTTGGAGTGTTGGTTCTTCTCTATTGACGCCAGTTTGATGGCTTCAACTACAATTTTCCTTACCACACCCATTTTTGTGAAAGCCACAGGATTGCAATGAGGAAATGCTGGACAAAAAGAAAACCCCGCCCCCTACACATTTTTCTGTTTCATTTGAAAATACATCAACATAGAAATGAAAGAAATGTCTTGCAGTTTACACATAATCATAGCTCAAAAAATTATCTTATAGCTCACAAATAGATGTAAACAAAATAAAGCACAATATTGGACTGAGTGTCATGTACAAGACATAACATTTTAGATTTGTACAGCCTACTTGGAGATCAAGGTCCACCTACTTGGAGCTGGCTCCGACATCCGTTTATATCCTTCTCGCTATTGCTGTGCGAAAAAAAAAAAATAGAAAAGCTCATTACAAATACAACAATTCAACCCAAATGTCTTGGTGAGCCGAAACTTTTTATAAATTGTTTTTTTTTTTTTGTAAGTTATAATCTAAAGTGTTTCTTTGAAGAAATGAAGACATGATATCAAAATTGATTAGGGATACAACGAATAACCGATTTCACTATTAACCGCGCTATAATTTGTCATGGTTAATTATTCGTGAAGGCTTCTCAACACTGCGTTTCTGGACGGAACAAAACTGCTGCAACTAAACAAAGTTATGCCAACTGTGCGCTAGTTTGAAGCTTGTACACCGAGGCTAATACTCACTGAATTAACTATTACTGAGGCAATTAACTATCGGCCGTTTCCAACAGTATTTCCAATGGAGGCATGCAGCTTGCACACATATATTGTAAAAGACGTGCTCACGCTTTCCAGGCGCACCTAGTTGAAAGAATACTGCGAGCGCATTGCGCTATAGTTATGAAGTGACATGCGTCTGTTCAATACAGCACGAGCTGCAGAGGCTGCACAGAGGGTGTTACTATAAGCGAGTGGTGTAGACAGCCGAAAAACATTTGGATGTGTTTGTAGAAATGGCCTTTTGTACAATTAACTGTAATCATTTGTAGGGATGCAATGATTAGCTGATTTCACTATTAACTGCACTTGAATTCGCCACAGTAATGAATCGTAAAGGCGTCTCTAAGCCGCATTTCTGTTGCATGGAACGAAACGAAGCTGCTGCAATTAAACAAAGTTATGACAAGTTCCAAGTATGTACACCGAGGCTAATACGCACGCACTCCGGATTAACTATAGCAGCGGCCGTTCCCATATCACATTTTTTTCACTTGCAAGTTTGTTATATCTAATGTAAGAATGACAAGCGGAGCAATGCGCACAAAGTAGAAAACATCTCTCAGTGAGATTTGTGCATGACTTTCAGTGCAATGTCAGCAAAAGATATGTTAGAAGAATTATTATTAAAATGATTATGTATGCATAAACGCAGATGGCAACAACAGTTAATCTAAATAGCTACTTACCTAATAGCTTGATTTTATATTAGACGTGATAACAGTTAAACCATGATTATTCTTCAGAATATATAATCCTAGAACCAAAATTTATAATGTTGCATCCCTAATTGTTATGCAGTTTAAAGCATAGCATACGAATGTGTATGAATGTAGAAGAAGCCAAAGAAGAAGATTTTGTAGTGCTCTGAAATACAACATTTGAATATTTGTAAAACAAATAAAGTCAATTTGACAATGCAGTGATATTATGTAGTTTCAAAATACAAAATATTCCCATTTTAATGTAGAAAAAGCCAACGTGGGTATCTGAAGGAGCAAAAATACAGCATATGCAGTTGTGTCATCACTCATATAGCAAGTCATATCTCTCCGGCCCTTCGTTTGGGATGCTTTTCATGAACCGTCCCCCATGACAAACTAATTGAAAGCCCTGGACTATGGCATCATCTATTGACCCAACTCTAAGGCTTACTTGCACAATATAC